ACAGAACGATGGGACATTCTCAAGTCTACATGAAAACAGTTCTCATAATCTGTTTTTAATTTTCTTATTAATTAATGTTCAATTTTAAAATGTCAGTGTGGTACAATGAGATCTGTGATTGATTTCCCTTATAGAATGTGATGGTAAGATCGTGAAGACAAGAGGTAACTCTCGCTGTCTCAACTACTTTATTGGCTACCACGACATATCAAAAAGAATCTAAGAGCCAAGTTGGCTCAGGGGCAGGAAACTTCCAGGGCCAAGTCCTTGGCCTCTGTGTTTCTTTATTTACATATACCACTTAGACAATCTCACCCACTCCCATTTCTTAAATAACATCCAAATATTAATGGCTTCTAAATTTCTCTCCCGGGCTCCAGGCTGTTATAACCAACTGCCCACACAATACCTTCACTTGGATGTCCCATGGCATGTTCACTACTGAACTCACCATCTTCTCAATCTCACCCAATTCTTCAACTAGCTGTTTCCATGTCCTAGTATTAGTGGTTCCCAAACACCGGTCTACAGACTGCAAGAGTATCATTTGGAGGAACTTATTAAAAATACAGAGTCTTGAGGAGCCTGGGTGGCTCAGTTAAGCATCTGATTCTTGGTTTCAGCTCAGGTCATAATCCCAGAGTCATGGAATTGAGCCCCCTGTGGGGCTCTGTGCTGACAGTGCAGAGCCTGCTTGGGATTCTCTCTCTGCTCCTCCTTTTCTTTCTCAAACAAATAAAAAACATTTCTAAAATACAGTCTTAGCTTCCACTGTGATCTTTTGAATAAGAATCTCAGTGCAGAGCCAGGGAATCTGAATTTTTAACAAGCTCCCCAGGTTATTCCAATATACCACCAGATTTAGGAGGTACTGCCCTCTACGGCCAAATGGCACCAGCATCCACCAAAGCCAAAAACTGAGTGCCATCAGGTAGAGTAGTCTTCAAGGAGGAAATACTCAAAAACAAAACAAGAAAACAACAACGACAACAACAACAAAAACAGAAGCAAACTCTACTTATTTAAGTGGCAAAAATCTGCCATCTGTGAGTCTTGGTCTATGTTCTCTCTTCTTTGTTTCCCTTGACAGCAATTTTATGGTTCGTAATATATTCTGTTTTTCCTTTCCTAGGGAGAGAACTAACCAGTGGTAGTCTATGTTTTCCTTTGCGAGTACCTTTAGTGGTAACATTAGAATTCTTTACTTTCATAATTGGCCTTATGTATTGGCGTTGAACAGTAGAGATGACTTTTTTCCCCACTCTGGGTAACATTTCTTGGTGTTCAGAGCTTAGGGAAATTTGGTCTAGATTGGATCTTACAGGAGCTGATGGGCCAGTATATAATAACTCCCCAGAAAATCTCTGGAAATAAATGTCACTCTTGACTAGCACTTAAGAAAAACATCTCTAAATTGAGTCTGAAGACATCCCCACCTCCTGAAGACCGATTTAAGTTCCCCATCTAAGGCTTCCCTTGTGTCTGTCCTATCTAGTACTATAAGACATGCCATAATTACTTTTATACAACACTCCTTTCTCCAACTAGACTGTAGGCATCCTGAAGATAGTTGCACCACTCAGATTCCTAGGCACAACACGTGGTGTCATGGGGCTGGTAGAGGCCTTAGAGAGTCTAGTCTAATCTCCAACGTTCAAGTAAGTCTGGGGGTCATCACTCATGGATGTTGTAGAGTAGATCCCGCAGGAAGTCTTAACTCAGTGACCTCTAGTCTGTACATCAGAATGGATGAGAAAAAGAAGTAACATCAAAGACAGAGATGTCTTTTCTGAGTACATAAACTGTCAGTGGTGTGGTCCTTCAAAGCAGAGGTGCCAGCTAAGCAGCTGGCAGAACCACTGGCTTCTTCCTCTTCTCTTTGTCCCTCCTGGTCACACCACCCTACCTGCCGGGTTACAACCACTGGACTGACTCAGGCAAAGGTGAAGCTAATAATGGGGATTTTAAGGGGACTCAGACCCAAAATAACTATGCAGATACAAGTCACTTAAAGAAAAAATATATACATATCTGAGCATATTTTTGCAAAATCCAGTGTGTCCTAGAAGATACTGGTTTATACATTCTCAAAGGCTATTCTGCCAGGTTTTTTTTTTTCTTCTGTTAAAAGTGTTATTTTCCCATAGAAGCTGTTTAAAGGGATAATGAGATTCTTTTAGGCTCAGATATGCCTGGGATCAAGTCAGCTTTTTTCTTGGGTGTTTTCCTACTGGACCCGCCATTCCTCAAGGGACCTGTGTTCAAGATCCAAACAGCCAACTTGTAAATGAACTTTCGATTCAAGATTTTTCTGCAAAATTAATTCTCTTCTGGATCAACAGAAAAATAGTTGCTTTCATCATTGCTAAGGATTTCTTTTAATAAGTATCCAACAAGGGCAATAAAATAGCAAATGAACAATGCTTGAAGACAAGACACAAAAGTGACTTCCAATTTTAATTTAAAAGGATAGGTTACCAAGAGAGATAGTTGAAGCACCCACCCCCTCTCTGGGTAATCCTTAGAAAGAGACTAAATTTGCACCTACTTAGAAGGGTTTATATATGACCTGGGGTTTATATATGACCTTGGTGGAAGAAATACCCTCTTTCCTCAAGGCCCTCCCACCAGCCATATCGGCTTTCTACCTTCTTAGAACAAACATACTGATGGGCATTCCTCCCACATCTTGGTTTCACTGAGCTTCTGGTGCAATGCCAAACACATACACCCAGAGCCACAGGCCCAACCCGGCCGCCAATATTTGCACTTCCATCCAGATACTTTTGTGATGCTTCATTATGAAGAAATGCTCTCCTTTCCAAGTCCTTGAAAACTATCAGTGTCATGTAGGGAAAGGAGGGCAATACCTGTCTACTAATTGGCTCTAACCCTGTGGCATGAAGGAGGTTTATAAAGTGCTTTCAAAAGCAGTGTGCTCAAAAAAATTAAGAAGGGGGATAGGTAGGAGCATACTGAGTTTTTTTTTTTGTACTAGTTTTATTAGCAGTCTTGTTATCATTATTAGAAGTCTGAAATTGGAATGTATAATCTACCCATTAGGAACATATATACTTTGAATTAGTGGAGCTAGTATAGTTTCTTTAGGTCATGTCAGGTCATAATGGTGCAGAAAATATGGTTTTCTTAATGTACAAAGATACTTAATAACAGTTGCTTTTATAATAAAAACTGAGAACCAGTGTTTCCCACAATAGAAAGCGTGCAGGGAAACCAGTCTCCAGAGTCAGGCATATGGCTATATATAGGTATAGGATTTTTAAATATATATCCAATTGGCTCTATTCCTCTGGAGAACCCAGACTAATACGGACCCTGGCATCAGCATTTTTTAAATGTTTATTTATTTTTGAGAGAGAGGCAAAGTGCGAGTGGGGGAGGGCCAGAGAGAGAGGGAGACACAGAATCTGAAGCAGGGTCCACACTCCAAGCTGTTAGCACAGAGCCTAACGCGAGGCTCAAACTCAGAAACTGTGAGATCATGACCTGAACCGAAGTTGGATGCTTAACCTACTGAGCCACCTAGGTGCCCCAAGCATTTTTTTAAACATTTCCCAGTGGTTGAAATGTTCAACTAGAGTTGAGAGCCTCTGGTCTAGGAGGCTCTCTGAAGTCTGTGAACTCTTGGAACTCACAAACACAATTTTCCTTGTATGTGTACCATATCTCATAAAAACTCTCAGCTGGGCCTCAGATCCCTTCCATGACATCCCTAAAAAACCACTGTTTGCTTTTGTTTAAACATCTCCAGACGTGGGAAACCCCCTCCTCCCTGAGGAAGTCCATCTCATTTTAGAACAGTTCTAAAAGTCAAACCCTTTGAAGAAGCAGAGGTACAAGAAGCCTGATATTGAATAAAAGAATCACAAAATATTAGTCAGAAGTATACCTAGTGCTCTTCATGTGCAACTTCTTCATTTTATAGAGGGAAAAACTGAGGCACAGAGAAATTAGGTATCTTGCTCAAGTTAATAGTGTTAATGATAGGTTCAAGAGGGAATGCCCAGCACTGGTTCTCTGTTTAGTTTCCCCCCTTCATTGCATGTCGTAGTGTCCCTTTAAGGACAGACACGGAGGTGGTCTCTGGTGGCATACTTCAGATGAGCAGGGCTGGGGTCTGGTTGAGGAAAACCACTATTCCCCCCGCCCCCCAACCTGTACCATCACTGTGGAAAGCACAGGACTGGAGGGGAGTGGCCTGCCTCCCTCTTTCATGCTGGGAGCCTCTCCATCCCCACCAGTCCCCACATGGATGAAGGTAAAAATGCCAAGAAAATCCAGCTCGTTGGTCAGACTGACGTTGTACAAGGTACCAATTTGGAGACACTGGTCTATCTTAATCCCTCAAAAGACAGATGTGGACACTGAAGGGAAGGGGCAATGAACATGCTCTACCTCTGGTCCTTTGGAAGGCGGTATAGCTGATGATCAAATAGTGATCTGAATGTTTAAGATCCCACAGTAGATCTGTAAATATGTGTTAAAATTTAAGTGGTATTAAAGAAACACTGACTTCTTTAGGGTGGAATCAGGCTTGTTAATAACTTGGACTCTTTATGTCCAATATTTCAATATCTTCCATTTATTACCAAGTAGCTTAATATCTCACTAAGCTGCATCCTGATTGCCTCATCTATAAATTAAGGTTAATAATATCCATCTCAAAACCTCAAAGAACTGTCGTATGGAGTGAATTACCTGACCCGAAAGTGGCTAGTGGGGTGCCTGGCATAATGATGTGTCCAGTCATTGGTGGCTGTTATTAGTATTACTGTAATTATCAAAATGCAAATAACATAATGACCAATTATTCTCATGTATGCCTTTTCTCACCACCCAACACACTTTTGATGACAGAGGTGATGCCATAGTATATTCTGAATCCCCAACCCCCACCCATGGAGCTTGGCACAAATCTGTGCCCACGGTAGGTGTCAATAAGAACCCAGGTTAAACCGAATCGAATGAACCGCTCCTACCGGATTACTCTGCTCTTTCAGGGGTATTTCAGATCCAGGTTCCGCCTCGAGGCTGACGGAGTCAATGCATTCAACAAGCGCATCCTCAGTCACTTCTCCATTGGGGGGATGCTGCGTGGCACTGGGGTGTTGGGGCTCAGGGTGCTGGGTGTTTGCAGTCTCTGCACGCTGAGTGGTTGCATTTTCATGCCCATCTTCTGTGGCGTCAGCTGGTGTTGGCTCATTTGGAATCGTAGCTGAATCACAGTGTGCTTCTGTCTCTTTGGGTAAAAACTTGCTATTGGGCATCTTGGTAATTTCTGCTTTGTCTCCAGTGGCTGAGGTGTCACCGGCATCGTCAGACATTTTAATATCTGTCAACATGATTACAAATACTTTCTGCTTTAATCGGAATTGCTAAACTTTGTTCAAAGCCCCCAATAATGAAATCTGGTAGGAATAAACTTTCTTCTACCAATAAGAAAGTTTACATAACCTTGGAGTAGGCTGCATAATGGCCCCCACAGGTATCTATGTCCTGTTCCTTGGACCCTGTGAATGTTACCCTACACAGCAAAAGGGATTTCACATATATGGTTAAATTAAGGATCTTGCGATGGAGATTATCCTGGGTTATTTGGATGGGTCCTAAATGAAACCATAAGTGTCCTCCAAGAGAGGCAGAAGGAAATATGATTACAGAGAGGAAAAGGTGAGGAGAGAGCAGGAGCAGAGATTGGGGTGATCAAGACGAAAGAGGGGCCGTGAGCCAGGCCAAATATGGGCGGCCACCAGAAGCTGAAAAAGTCAAGGAAACCTTTCTCCCCTCAGAGATGCCAGAAGAAACCAGGCTTACCAACACCTTGACTTTAGCCCAGTGAAAACCAGTTTGGGACTTCTGACCTCCAGAACTGTAATAGAATAAATCTGTGTTGTTATAAGCCACTAAGTTTGTTGCAATTTGTTACAGCAGCAATAGGAAACTAATGCAACCGTGCAATGCTATCTCTAAACTTTCATGGATCTTGTACCTGGTATGCAGGGATATGTATGTGGGAACTATGAGTATTATCTGTGTCTGTGAAATTACTTAATATCACTGTAGTAATTATAATCACAGCAATAATGAGAATAAGCATAGAAAATACCTGGGAGCTGATCAAAAATGACTTGACATTTAGCTTTGTGATGTCATCAGAGATTCACATTGAGAAAGCAACATATACACATAAGTGTGCTTTGTTGGACACCAGCTGGTGAAGGCCTGGGTTCTGCTGAACAATAGTTGACACAGGGAAACACAGGATGAATTGGAAGGGAAAGAAGTAAGGTATTAAGTCAAATGAGGAATGTCACTATTATGAAATTACCTACAAAGCAGAAAACTCTTTACCAAGTTTGCAAGCTGGTGTATCATGTAGAACAGAACTCTTAAATGATTTAATTTTATATTTTACATAGGCATGTGTGGCTAGTGGCTACCTTACTGGACAGTACAGATCTAAAAGGCTAGTTCAAGATGATAATTTTCATTTTTTAAAAAAATTAACAAATTTTTATTTGAGAGAGAGAGAGAGAGAGGACAGGGGAGAGGGGTAGAGGGAGAGATAGAGAGAATCTCAAGCAGGCTCCATGCTCAGCATGGGGCCTGACATGGGGCTCAATCCCACAAGCCTGGGATCATGACCTAAGCTGAAATCAAGAGTCAGACGCTCGTGGGAGGGGGGATGGGCTAAATGGGTAAGGGGCACTAAGGAATCTACTCCTGAAATCATTGTTGCACTATATGCTAACTAATTTGGATGTAAATTGAAAAAATAAAAAAATAAAATAACGGTGAAAAAAAAAAAAAAAGAGCCGCTCAACCAACTGAGCCACCCAGTTGCCCCAAGATGATAATTTTCTTAGGCTAAAATGAAAACACAGAGTTCTCACTATACCAGAAGTCAAGTCTCCGTCAAATCAGTGAGTATTTTTGTCGACCTCAGTGTTTACCAATTGGTCAACCCTCAAGTTGTCACGAAACCCACAGTATGTAAGAAACCACTTAACATACTGGCCAAATGGAGGTACGGGCTTAGGATCATGTGCACATGTAGCCCTCTTGTCCCCTCACACAGCCATTCCCCAAGGTTGTCTGGCTGTTACCTTTTCTTGTACTACATTCTCTCCCTTGGTGAATCACATTCCTTTCTCACAGTTTCACACACCACTCTTACGTCGTGAGTTTCAAATATTTACCTCATTCCATCGAGATGGAAAGTAATTTAGTGGCTTCCAGGGACAGAAGGGAAGGGGAATGAGGAGGGAATGACTGCTAATGGGTATGGATTTCTTTTGTCCACAAGGAAAATGTTCTAAAATTAGATCGTGGTAATGGCCGTACAACTGTGTGAATATATGAAGACCACTGAACTTTCAAAATTCCTCTGAGTGAATTTTGTGGTAGGTGAATTATATCTCAATATATTAAGAATATATATAATACATATAACCTATAGTGTTATATGTTAATAACGCTGTTAATAAAAAAAAAATTCTAGTGCTTGCTTCGGCAGCACATGTACTAAAATTGGAACAATACGGAAAAGATTAGGACGGCCCCTGCACAAGGGTGACACGCAAATTCATGAAGCTTCCATATTTTTAAGATGTGGCTCATATATACAATGGGACACTACTTAGCAATGAGAAAGAATGAAATCCTGCCATTTGCAGCAACGTGGCTGGAACTGGAAGGTATTATGCTGAGTGAAATAAGTCAGTCAGAGAAGGACAGCTTTCATATGTTTTCACTCATGTGGATCTTGAGAAACTTAACAGGACATGGGGGAAAGAAAGGGGGAAAAATAGTTACACACAGAGAGGGAGGGAGGCAAACCATAAGAGACTCTTAAATACACAGAACAAACTGAGGGTTGATGGGGGGGGGGTAGGGGAGAGGGGAAAGTGGGTAATGGACACTGAGGAAGGCACTTGTTGGGATGAGCACTGGGTGTTGTATGGAAGCCAATTTGACAACAAATTATATTCATAAAAAAAAAATCTACTTCTGGATAAGTAGTTCTAGTGGCCAGCTGGACAACTGTTCCCATCCAAAAGGAAACCTGTGGTCTTACTGTTAATACTAGTTCTTCCTGTTGACTTTTGTGTTCCTTTTAATGGTGCCTAGATTTTCCCAATAACCTAGGCTTAAAACCTCAGCGCTGTCATTAACTAAACCTTCACTCTCTCAAGAATATGTAATATCGATACCTATCATTATTGAGCGCCTATTAAGTCTAGGCTCCTTACATGTATTGTCTCCTGTGAGTTAGATATTATGAGCTCTATTTTACAGACGAGGCAACTGAGGCTCAGAAGTCACACTTTCAGTGACATATTTGAGATTTGAACCATGTCAGAGCCCAACTATAGTGCCACCAGCCTCTTCTCTCCCAGTGCCCAAATCCTAGAGGCTCTTTATTCAGAACTTATGCCTTTTCTTTTATTTTTACTTCTATTCACTGCCACCACTCTAGATCAGGGTCTCATTATGGTTCATGTTGATGACTTCAACATTGGACTCAGATCTCTACTGTCGCTCTCCCTTTTGCTTCCCCATCCCTCACCCTCCTGTTCATACATCCTTAGGGGTTTCCCACTTACTATTGGGAGGAGGTGAGAAGCTTCAGCTGGCATCCAAGCACCTCTGTACTCTGTTCCCACTGTGTGTATCTCCCACCATTCCCTTCCAAAACCTGGACCAAGACAATGTAAGTATCCATGCAATGCCTGACATTCACAAAAGACCCTCATGTGGCTGTTGGTTCAATACGTTGTCTTAACACATTCAAGACCCAGTTAAGATAAGTACTGCCTCCATTCTTTGTTCTTCCCAACTGGATAGAATTTTTCTTTCTCTGAACTGCCAGAGTGCTTTGCAACTACCTCACCTTGGACAGTTATACTTGCCTTTGGTTTAGAGTCACTTGAGTGTTTTCCTATCACAGTATATTGTAAATTCTATGAACACAAGGAGCTCCCGTGTTTTGTTTTCAGATTTTATGCAGCACTTAACATGGTTGTTTGAACCTAGTGGGAAGCTCAACAAACATGTGTGTTGTTTGATGAATATTTTCAGAGGTTTGAGATTAAAATGTAATTTGAATTTGTGTTTTTGTATTTTGGGGGCAAATACCCAGTAGTACGATAACTAGATTGAAGGTGTACCCCTATGTTTATAGCAGCATTATTTACAATAGCCAAACCAAGAAAGCAGTCCAAGTGTCCATCAGTAGATTTATGGATAAAGAAGATGTGGCATATATATACTTACATAACTCAACCCCCCAAAAAGAATGACATCTTGTCACTTGCAACAACTACCTGGATAGAGCTACAGCGTATGATGCTAAGCGAAATAAGTCAGTCAGATAAAGACAAATACTGTATGATTTCACTCACATGTGGAATTTAGGAAACAAACCAAACAAGCAAAGAAAAAAAGAGAGTGAGAGAGACAAACCAAGAAACAGACTCTAGAGAACTGATGATACCAGAAGGGAGGTGGATGGGGGATGGGTTAAAAAGGTGATAGGGATTAAGGAGGGCACTTGCCATGATGAGCACCAGTGATGTATGGAATTGTTGAATCACTATATTGTATACCTGAAACTAATATAACTCTGGATGTTAACAATATTGGAATTAAAAATTTTTTATTTATTTATATTTTTTATTACTATTTAAAAAAAATTTTTTTAATGTTTATTTATTTTTGAGAGAGAGAGAGACAGAGACAGAGTGAGAATGGGTTAATGGCAGAGAGAGAGGGAGACACAGAATCCAAAGCAGGCTCCAGGCTCCGCACAGAGCCTGATGCGGGGCTCGAACTCACCCATGAGATCATGACCTGAGCCGAAGTCGGACGCTCAACCGAGCACAGAGCCTGACGCGGGGCTCGAACTCACCCATGAGATCATGACCTGAGCCGAAGTCGGACGCTCAACCGACTGAGCCACCCACACGCCCCTAAAGTTTTTTTAAATGTAATTTGAAATGAAAGCAAACAGAAAATGCCTTTACCCCATTTACTACTCAAGAGCTATCTTACAGCTAATGGTTCCAAATGATCCATATCATCTTTCTTTTGTTCCTTAACCTCCAGGTTAACTAAGTTAGAATGTTTTCTTTTATTTTTCTAAAGTTTATTTATTTATTTTTAGAAACAGTGCAAGCAAGTGAGAGGCAAAGAGAGAGACAGAATCCCAAGCAGGCTCTGCACCACCAACATGGAGCTTCACCACCGGGCTGGAACCCACGAACCACGAGATCATGATCTGAGCCAAAATCAAGAATCAGACACTTAACCAACTGAGCCACCC